GCAAACTCGTGTTTGCTATTTATAGATAACGTAATCACGTGACAGGATCTTGGCGGGAAACTTGACTTAGTCACGCGCTGGAAAAATATATTGTGCGTGGGTGGATTGCAACACCCACTTGTGTGTTTAGTGACCAATTAGAAGATGATATTTCCTGAAAATATTTTCTAAGCTGAGAAGTCTCTTTGGATCCAATTCTCCCAAAAGTGCACAAAATCGACGACATGAAAATATAGCGATTATAAAATTGTCGCATAGCTGCCATTTATAAATTGTCCATTATACAGTAGTGTTGATTTATTATCCAATGAATGCTTGTTGTTGTATAATTTGAATTTGTATAAGTATGTATGTAAGCAAATATATGGATATAGAACCGACAGTATGAAGAAAATATACAGAAAAAAACAAACAAAAATCTTAATATGCAATTATGCTGTATTAATGTTAATATAAAGTCAACGTCGGACGTTTCGGTCTATTTTAGACCATCTTCAGGACATTTTCGTTAAACATAATAATTAACATTAGAACATATAAAATTCATAATGAAAAGATGATGGATATAAGAGCACGTTTAAATATGAATCGTCAAACAGATAAAAAGTTCAATCGAATTTTTAATATTTTAATATTTGGAAATCATCTTCGAATTCGTTTTTAAATATGATGACGACGTCGTCGTCATTTAAACGGAATTGATCTTATTAAAATAGTTCAATCTTATGTCCACGTTTTGAATTTTTATATGTTCTAATGTTAATTATGTTTTGAAAATCATCTGAAGATGGTCTAGAATAGACCGAAACGTCCGACGTTGACTTTATATTAACATTAATACAGCATAATTGCATATTAAGATTTATGTTTGTTTTTTTCTGTATATTTATCTTCATAAGTATGTATGTATGTATGTGTGTAATGATCATTACAGTGATTTATGTTTCAGAAGCAAACCAAAACAAAGAACGTCATTGAAGCAATTGAGGTGGGAGGATGAGAATCATCGTCAGAAATGCAAGTATCGTGCCGTAATCGTGTACCTCCAGGAAGATCGCTTACTCTTGACGTCTTTAGGTCATTTTCATTTAAGGGCCACTGTCACAACTGTTTACAATTGTCCCCTTGTGATTACTCATCGAATAAACTTTTTCGTGTCTCGATGAGCCGTGGTCAGTTTATTTTTGAAAAAGTAAAATCTCCCTGCTGCCAATCGACGAACAAGAAAGAAAAACAAACTTTTTCTTCCATGAAAATAAAGAATGATTATTTTCTATCTACATTCGCCTGTCAAATATTGTCCTACTGACTGTAGTCAGCGGGGAGGTCCCTTGAGGGATGGGCTGTGAAAGAAACATTTAGTGAAAAATAATAATTTTGCAGAAACATTTTATTGATATACAAATAAGTGAAGCAGGCTAAATGTCTTTAATATTTCTGTGAATCCAAAAACGGTTCTGCAATGTTATAGCTCCTGATTTGGCATCTTACCTTCATTCACTTCGCAGTGCCTCTTCTATAAGTATTATCATGACAGATGTTGTGGTGAACTTTCCTCAATGATACAAATTGTACATACGAGGATTAGTTAGGACTGCATAGAGACTTAAAGGAATTATGGTGCCTGTACTAAGAATGGTAACTAAGAAAGTGTTGCTTTGTGTAAGAAATATTGTGGTATGTTTGGGTCAGTAATTGTAGCTAGCTAAGTTTGAAATAAGACAGATTATATTCTCTTGGAAATTTATATATATATATATATATATATATATATATATATATATATATATATATATATATATATATATACCACTAATATTATTATCTATCTATATATATATATATATATATATATATATATATATATATATATATATATCCTCCTTTTGGCTTTGCGCCACATTTTTGTATTATAACAAAATAAATACTAATTTTCTCTAGATACCGAGACTTTAAACACAGTACTAGATCGGTGTTAAGTCACAACATTTTACAGTTTAGCGGTAACCTTAAGTTCTATGCTAACAGTTTCTTCTATCGCACTTCTCGCTTGTGGAACTTCCTTCTAGCTTCTTGCTTCCCCCTCAAATTTGATTTTCAAAAAATTAAATGTAATATCTTCTGTCTTCTTAATCCTTGTTATTTTATTGTATTCTATCGTTATTGGTATGTTTTTCTCATATTCTCTAACACACAGTAAACCCCTTGCGTCTTAGAGGCTTTATTACATTGCATGGTGTGAAATGAATGTGATATGTCCCGGAAAGGGATATATTTGAACGAAGTATCTAAGTGGTTTTGGCTACTATAACGAAGTAGAATATGGTAGCAGTAATCGACTGGTACGCGTCGTAGTCACAGGTAAGAAGTGTAGATCAATGGCGTAGTCCAATGGGCGTCGTTATAGACTTAGCCCTCAGACTATACCTATGACTCTCCTACACGTCCGTCGGTATTTATGACGGACACCAAACAATCATATTCCATTGAGGGGGAACACAGGTGGATGCATCTATTATAACCAAATAGAATATGGTAGCAGTAATCGACTGGTACGCGTCGTAGTCGCAGGTAAGAAGTGTAGATTAATGGTGTAGTCCAATGGGCGTCGTTATAGACTTAGCTCTCAGACTAAGGCTCTCTTCACGCTGTCGAACGTACACGTCCGTTGGTATTTATGACGGGCGCCAGCCAATCATATTCCAGTGATGGGGAATACAGGTGTATGTATATTCCATTATATCAGAATGAAAAAAAAATACGGTAGGTCTCAAACACCGACCTCAAGTAACTTGATAGAAATATCAGGCTCACATTGATTGATTATTTAAATTACAGTGCTAAGTGTCTTTCTGTCATACAATGTCAATATATTTATAGTAAAGTCCAAACAATATAACGTTTCTACTATATCTTCCTTAATTTTCAAGGTAGAGATTTAATGCATGATGTTCTATGAGCATAAAATAAGTGAGGGTAAAATGTGTAGGTTATGTCGGAAGGATAACGGTTAAAGATAGATTTGAAGAATTTAATTTTGTAGTGATCGGGAAAACAACCTGTCGGAAGTTGAAAGCAGCAGTCATTGGAGAGGAGTTGACCGTGTGGAACTTCCTTTTAGAAATAGAATACAGGGGAAATGTGGGCTATTCAGACCCGTGTACGTGGCACGGCAGATCTTAGCTGCAAAGGTCAGAACTGGTGGAAGCTCATCCACTTAGCATGGAAATAGCGATAGATTGCCAAGAGATTTGCAATGTTTCGTCTGTGGGAAAATGGTTTGTGGTGTGGAAAGAAAATAAACTCCACAAAAAGTCGCTTAGTTTTTTTTTTTGTTTTTTTCTTTCTTTCTTGCTGGACAGCTTCAGGTCAGATGTGGTAGCAGTTCTCCATTTTTGGTCTGATCGACTTTTTGTAAAGAAAAAGTATAACAAATTAATTCAGGTACTTCCTGAAGCGGTACAAAGAATCGATCATTATCTTTAGCGATGTATTTTAACAACGATTTCCACTTGAGTTTTGGTGGCGAACTTGTGACCCAATAGGAGTTTAAGGCAACGAGCCTCTTTGAGAGAATAACCATTCATCGGGATAAGTGAAAATCCAGACTCTGTTTGGTGACGGTGGAATCTTTTCTTGTTTGTTTTTGGAGGTATTGAATGTTAAAAACCAGTTTTACCGCCATTAGAATTTTAGAGCTAAGTCAGAGAAGAGATAAGGTTCTAGGTACTCTTCCGTCCTTGGTATGACAATAAACGACATCCACGTCCTGGGTATGACGATAAACTACATCTGTGTTGTAGAGCAGTTTTCACAGTGGAGGCTTGTATTTCACTGAGTCGGTCCTAAAAAGTTCGACGTAAAAAAAACGTTAGGAACTTGAAATAATAGTTAATGACGCAGCAATCTAGTTATGGTGGTTGATACTTTAATGTCCGACATCGACTGACTCGACTAACACTCTGAGCTCACTGGCGACTGCTACTACTACTACTACTTATTATATGTGGGAGAGTCTATGAACAATAGAATAGATGTGTTTCAGTATAGCAATCTGCGTCCTGGGGAAGACGATAAACTACGTCCAACAGCAAGGCCTCTGATCAGGAGGTTTTGAGGAACATGGAACCACCTCTTAATTGCTGGTGTTCTCAGGTCCGCCCTGAGTCGGGGTGGTAGCACCTGTTAGGGTCCCAGCTCTGGACAAATAGTTAACACCGAAGCTGGGATAAAAACATTGTGAAAGAGTAAAAACAGGTTTTAATACTAAAAATACTTTGTAAAAAAATTATATCCGGCAATAAATGTTTAAAGAAAAAAAAAACTATTACCAGCTATATATTTTTGAGAAAAAAATAAAACCAGCAATAGTTTTTTTGGAAAAACTTATTACAGCAACACATTTTTGAAAAAAAAAAAATTATTAATGGAAATAGAATTTTGACAAAACAAAATATTACCAACAATGAAAATTTTGTCGGCATTAAATAACCCATTAGGGTTGATATACCGTAAAACAAAACAAACCAAAGCAAACTAAGTATTGTTCTTCCAGATCTTTGGAGGTGTGCTTATAAACTGTTGAGGCATCCGCATAGATATTCATTAAAGATTGGAGTATGTTGTTAGGCAGATCATTTATATACAGCAAAAAGAGGATAGTGTCGTACTGATTGTGCGAGTAATGTCATATGAATGAAAGTATTGGTGTTACAAAATGAATTCATTAACTGATTCGTTTTTTACGGCTTATCAACCCTCTGCATGTTCTTTAAAAGCAGAAAAAATATTTCATGTTGTAAGATTTTTTTTTAAAGATAATAATGAATGTCCGATACAAGTCTTAATAATTAACCCATATCTGGTGGGGGGGAGAAGAGATGAATTCATACCTTTCCCAAGAGTATTTACGCGTAAGTGAATATAACAAACCCAACTTAAATTTGAACTCGGTACTCTAATTAAAAATTCCGAGTAGTTATCCATTACAACACCCAAGCGTACAGCACGTGTTATCCCCAAGCGGTCACCCATTTTAGTAATGACCAAGCTAACGGTGCTTAACTTTGGTGATCGCGTGAGAACCGGTGTTTCAACGTGACTTAGCCGTAAGTCCTCAGGATGTGAAGATTATAGATAAAGGAGGAAAGACAACGACTGACCCTTGACATGAAGAGGGTAAAAATACAGTGCTTAGGGAACCACACACGCTGAAATCTGCTCCACAAGGAAACAGTTCCTGGGAAAAGTTGTCTTGGAATACGGGGGATATAAGTGTGACTCGACTTCATAGACGGAGCGTGGTTAGTTTTAGCAGTAATATTCTGAGCTGGTCAAATTTTAAGTTTGAGCTAAAGTATTTGCTATAGAATCATCGATAGAGTTACATCGTTTTAATTCATCATATGACAGTTTATTTCTTATTAAATCCAGTATAAAATAAACGATGACGAAATGAGTCATTGTTTCTATTTCTACGAAAGACGGCTGGCAAAAGAGAAAAGCAGCCGTCACTGGTGTCGCTAAGCCGGAGAAAAACACTTCAACAAAACTAAATTACGCAGTTTAAATTCTTGAAACGTCTGTATTATCGTCTGACTAGAAACGACATGAAAGAATAAATAGTGGCGATACTGTTCCGGTCCTTGTTTGATAGGGCAGTTTCATTTTGTAAACCTCCTCACTTTCAAGACTGATATTTCCAAATGTTTGCCATGAGGGCCGCGTAAGTCTGAGATATATTGTATAAAGTTAGAACGATGTAGTGATTTTCCAAGCGTAGCTCAGATGTGGCACAAGGCCGAAAGTAAGGAGCGCCCAGTGAGGATTGAATTCATAATCAGTCGTAAATGTTCTAGCGAGACAAGCTTGCTAACCATTACACCACACCGAGGCGCCCTTTTATTTTCCAAGCGTAGCTCAGATGTGGCACAAGGCCGGAAGTAAGAAGCGCCCTTTTATTTTCCAAGCATAGCTCAGATGTAGCACAAGACGGGAAGTAAGAAACACCCTTTTATTTTCCAAGCGTAGCTCAGATGTGGCACAAGGCCGAATGTAAGGAGCACCCAGTGAGGATCGAACTCACTACTCAGTTGTAATTGTTCTAGCGACACAAGCTTGTTAACCATTACACCACCTCGAGGTGCCCAGGTTATAACGGTGTATGGTCAATTGGAACGTTCGCTTTTTTGACCATGAGATTAGTGTTCGAATCTTATCAACTTCGATAAAGTATTATATTACAATCGGCCTGCTGAGGCGATCCCAGCATGCGGCGAAGTACCCGAACACCATACCACTGGTTTACCTAAGTAAAAATGGGTGGACGGAACTATTTGGGATGGTTGTTCTAGAACGAATTCAAACAATGGTTTGAGCGTACTGGCATTGTTCTGACAAATGGTCACGCCAAAATAAGAAAATCTAAAGTCCGCCTAGTATGGTTGCAGTATAAACCACAAGTGGGTGTTGAACAAACACAAATATGCCTGAGCTGGCGTCTCCAACAGGGATTGACTAGCGAACACACAAGACTAGCATGCGATTTCATACAAGCGGCCAGTCACCACCTGCTCCGCCATATTGTAAAAAAAAAAATGTTCAGTATTGAGGTACAGCGTAGACGGTGCGGACATAGGAATCAATATTGCATAATGGGTAATAATTTCATCCATCTGTGCGATGTTCAGACCATGTAACACTACTCATTTAGAGTGCTTTATATAGAGAGACCACTGGGAGATTAAGGAAACTGAGCGATGGAGTAAAACTGGAATAATGGAGTCTGTATTCATTGATATTTAACGACGTTTGTTAAACGTTTACGACCACCTAACATTAGCTGTCAACAAAGGCGTTTTCACCAATAGCGAAAAGAGACATTTGTTAAGAGCTAATATATTGGATTATTTATGGACATGAATTTTAATTACTTATATTTATTTTATTTATTTATTTATTTATTTATATAGTGATTATTTATTCATATATATTTCATTTATTTAATTATTTATTGCCTGTATTTCTTTTTAGTTCTAAGTTATTTGGAAAAACGTTTATTCGACTTATGTTATTTTATTTAGTACTGTTGGCCTTTATTTTGTCGAAATTGGTAGTATCCCAAGCAAAGCAGTACACCCTCTAACACGCAAGGGAGTTAATGAGTGTGGAGGAATTAGGAGCAGAAACATTGGTAATGAGGAGAAAGAGAAAAAAAAGCAATCAGAAGGATGGTAGATAGCGATTGATATTGCATTTAAATTCTTGTAGATTCTTGGCTGGAAAGCAGGAGGGGGGAGTTCCACAATTTTTTTTTTTGCTATCCTCTGCCAGCCACAATTATAGGGAAAGCATTACCTAGAACATTCGCCAGTGAGACACGCTGCAAGATCCACACCGTTTCGCGAGGCTCATCCCTTAATCAAGACGCAATCGCGCTAATCCTCCGAAGGAACGCCATCGAACGAGGGCCAATAACCCCAGAAGTCTCCACTGCCACAGGAGCAAAAAAGAAATCTATCAGCAAGAGAAGAATATTTAACTATTTTTTTTTTTTTTATCTCTGCGTCCCGGGCGACGGACCTCGACTCAATCACTGACCTGATCTAATTACTGGCCGAAAATGTTTCCGTACAGGTTGCATCCCAAATCAACGACTTCCCTATTTTAAAAGGGAAAATTTTAATGCCATCCGGCCGCCTTCCATCACCACGGTCGAGGCCTACGGGTTCGATTTGGGAAGGGAACACAGCTACATCCAAACCTCTTTTGATGAATATAGTACAAATGTTCTGAAATGCTTAAAGTATATAGTTCTTTAGAAATATTAACGTTGATACTTAAACAAACAAACTATAACCTACCGCGAGAAGTCATATTTTAACAAAGTTACCTCCCTTACATTATAACCTTTACAATAAGAAAAAATTAAAAATCACCGTTTGTGACCACGAATATGGGAGAAAAAAAGATTGAGTCGGGTAGATGTTTTTTTTTTTTTTTTTTTTTGGTGATTTAGTTTTAATTAATTTTTGTTGTGATTCTCATGCTATATGTTTTGAGTATATATATTTCGTCCTCCGACAGGATACAGGTTCGAATCCTGTCGGAGGACGAATATTTTCTATGAAAATTTCTCGGACATTCAGTCCCGTAAATGTTGTTTAATACTGTTTATTATAAAACAGAGAATTTACTTAAATATTTGTATCTATAAAAAGAACTTATAAACATAAAATGTCTTAAAATAATGTGTGACGTCATTTGTTTACATTTGATACGCCATCAGATATGAATGTACGTGAGAGATTCATGGAAGATTGAAGTTTAAAAGCAGTAAATTCGACCTTATTAACCGAGCGAATCGGTTAAAAGCACGTCAGGCTATATGACGGTTCCGTATAGGATACAGGTTCGAATCCTTTTGGAGGTCGAATATTTTCTACATATATATATATTCAGGCCGTTAAATGTTGTTTAATATTATTTATTATAAACAGGACATTTACTTAAATATTTTTATCTATAAAAAGAATGTATAAACATAAAAATGTCTTAAAATAATTGTCGGATTTTGTCCATTTCATAATGTGTATATATATATAAGTATAAGATTGGTGTATACGGAATAAATTCCAATAACCAACAAATACTATACTTAAAAGAGTGCTCAATACAGAGTAGAGCAAATATAATTATTTATTCGAAAATTATGACATAAATATGTTATAAAATCACTACAAAAATAGCCATTTTGTTTTAACCCTTCTGGTGTCTTCTCAAGTGATGGGGTTGAATGTAGAATAAAGAGTTTTAAAAGGTTCAAATCAATCAAACATCCCTCGCTAATGGAAACGCTGTTACATAAGCTGGAATGACCAATCAAAATACAAGTATACAAGAATTCTAATATATATACCGTCCCAGTCGTGTAAATGAATGGGATAATTGTCCATCCCACCAAGTGTTTAATTAAAAGACTAAACTAAAATTAACCAGTTAAAACGCTTAGCCATCAGGACACCCTTTGTCGTGAGAATCACTGAAAAACCCTTTGAGTTTTTCAGCTAGAAAGAGAAGTGGTTAAAATCGTTTTGTGTCAGCGCCACTATGCCTTCCCAAGAGTGCAATGGTGAGAGGAAAAGGTTCATGCAGGCGTTCAGTAATATTATCAACATTCATATTTTGGCTTCCATCTTCAAGGGTCATTCAAGAACAATCAAGAGAATGATGAATAACTTTACAAAAGAGGGAAAAGTAGAGAGTAAAAATGGACCTGGAGGTCACAACAGCAAGAGGGATCACCATTTCAACTTAGAGCTAAATGCATTCTTATTGTTTAAAGCAGTCCAATAGTGTCAAAAAACATCGGAGAATTCCAGTAAGACATAATTAATCATTTCTAAAATACAACGTTTCAAAGCTTAATCTAACAATTGGACAATTGTGCTGTTACACGATTTACCCAATTTTGTTTTTACACACGGTATGCATATATATATATATATATATATATATATATATATATATATATATATATATATATATATATATATACACACACACACACACACACACACACACACATATATATATATATATATATATATATACAGTGTGTAAGAGCAATATAAATATATCGATCGAGCCATGGAGAATCGTTCGATTGGCAAGGTTGATTTTACTGCTTATAAACTTCAATCTTCCATAAATCTCTCACGTACATTCATATCTGCTCAAAGCGTATCCAAATGTAAACAAATGATCGGTTAAGGCACGTCAGTCTATGACGGTTCCGTATAGGATACAGGTTCGATTTCATGTTGGAGAACGAATATTTTCTGTGAAAATTTCTCGGACATTCAGGCCGGTAAATGTTATTAACACTGTTTGTTATAAAACAGAGCATTTACTTAAATGTTTGTATCTATAAAAAGAATATATAAACATAAAAAATATCTTAAAATAATTGTCGGACTTTGTCCATTTCATATATATATATATATATATATATATATATATATATATATATATATGTTGTGGTGTCCTTGCTCTAAAGAGTCTGTCAGACTCTTCTGCCTACTATAAGATTAGTAGGACAG